GGAAAAGAATTCCATGACGCAGAAATGTGCTGCTGCCCAGCTGGAGAGGGCAGACATCACACCGAGTGCTTTTCCAAATTGTGGATTCACAATCAGAAGCTGAGCCATTCTGCTCAAGTGGAAAAGAATTCCATGACGCAGAAATGTGCTGCTGCCCAGCTGGAGAGGGCAGACATCACATCGAGTGCTTTTCCAAATTGTGGATTCACAATCAGAAGCTGAGCCATTCTGCTCAACTTCTGTGTGGCGGAAGCAGAAGGGATGAAGCCTGGAAAACAGGTTGAGATTTAGTGTCCTGGGACCCCCACTCCAAATGCATGGCTGGTGCCGGGACAGCTGGGGTGGTGAGTAGGCTCTGGCCTGATATCACCCTGCCTGGCTCTGTACCGTGCTTGCCCTTCCTTAGCTCTAGACTAAGCCTGTGCTGTGCCTCTTGCAGTCATCCTCTCGTCAGGCACATCAGCCATGCGTGTCCTCAGTGTCACAGCCCAAGTGCAGCTTCCCTTACCTGCTGAGCATCCTTGCTCCCATCCTAATCAAGGGCCATTTTGTTCTTTCCATGGGAAGAGATGGAATATATGATCTGAACCTGACATTTGGCCCGTCATTCTGGCAGAATAATTCCAGGAAGATTTCCTTCTTGGCACGTGGTGGAAACACCTGTGGAGGTTCCTAGAATAAGCCAGTGCTTTGGAGCCCCTGGTCAGATCAAGAAGGCCCCAGAGGAGATGAGAGCTTCTGGTTTGTCTGTATCCAGTGATGGCGGTGGGTTGTTCATTTTAAAATAACTATTAGCTGGACTGTAATCTGAACCCAACACCCCCTCTGAAATAAAGATAATTTGTGGGTATATCATGACCCAGTTTGGGAAATTGGGCCCCCTGAATGATAGTTAAGATGTTGTATTCTTATGAGTTTATGGACCTTATCATTCCAGAGAAGAAAATACAGTGGTCTTTTAACACATATTCTTCTCAGCCTTTGTGTTTTTAGCACTCCTTTCCTAATTTATGTATATTCATTCATTCAGTTTATTTTTTGAGCACCCTCTATACATCAGATCTAGCATGAGGGGATGAGGACATAGGGATAGACAAGACACAGCTGCACTCATGGGCTCACAGTTCACATTACCAGGCAGTTACAATACAGTGCGGCCACTGCATTGAGGATCTGCATCCCAGGGTGCATGGGGCACTCGGCCACCGAGAGGTCAGGACAGTGGGACAGAAAGGATTCCCAGAGGAAGTCAGTCTAAGCAGAATCCTGAAGGCTGAGTACCTGGAGGAGAAGAGAAGGAAGGGCATTCTCAGCAGAGGGAACAGCATGTGCAGAGGACTGGTGGTAAGACAGAAAATGTTCTGTCCACACGTTTCCACCACATGCCGAGAAGGAAATCTTCCTGGAATGATTCCACCAGAATGACAGTCCAAATGTCAGGTTTAGATCATATATCTCATCTTTTCCCACTGAAAGAACACATGGCCCTTCATGAGACTAGGAGCCAGGACATTCAGCATGTAAGGAAAGAAAAGCATTGAGTGAGGAAAAGAGCAGGCCGGGAGCAGGGCCTGGGAGCACTGGCACCAGAGGAATGTTTGGATAGGAGTTCCAAATGGAGGCTGAGCAGGGGCAGCTGGAGAGGCTAGAGGAGAACAGAGTCCGTCAGCATTGTCTGTGGCTAAGTTGTACTCAGAGGCTATCACTTACTGGTGCTCTTGGCAAAGGCTGGGAGTGGGGTGTGGCGTGGAGGAGAAGCTGGTGCAGTGCACTGAAGAGCAAATGGGAGGTGAGGCTGTCGGTGCAGCACAAGCACATGCACAGTTCTTTCAAGAAGCTTGGCTGTGTCACCAAAAGGCCTGCTCCATTGTGTTCATAGCAACAGTATTTGCAATAGCCAAAATCCAGGAACAACTCAAATGCCCATTAGCACTAGAATGTTATTTGCCTGCAGTAGAATATTATACCACAATGTTGAACAAAAGAAATCAGACACAAAAGATTGCAAGATTTCTTATATATAAGATTATAAAACACAATGAGCTACTATGTGGCTTTAGGAGTCAGGATAGTGGTTGCCTTCCAGGATAATAAGGCTCCCAGGGGGATTCTGGGATGCTGGTTTATGGTCTGTTTCTTGATCTGGTGCTGGTTGCACAGGTGAGTTCACTTTGTAAAGCTCTATTGAGCTGTACACTTATTTGGACACTTTCCCATGTGTATGTTATACTGCAAAAGAAAGTTTATTTAAAAGAAAAAATAGATTAGCTGTGAAGGGATGGCAGAAAGCAAGAGTGGCAGCTGGTACAGGCCATGGAGTTAAGGTGGGGCTGGATTTTTGTTTTTCTCCTGGAAATACTTGAAAGTGTTCCTTACAGCTGAGAAGGGGCCACTAGAGATAGAGGAAAGAGAGGTTATGCTCAATGGAGTAAATCTGAAGCTTTGGGGTGAGTGGGGGGAGAGAAGAAGCTTCCAAGCACCAGGAAGGAGATAGGGGCCACTAGAGATAGAGGAAAGAGAGGTTATGCTCAATGGAGTAAATCTGAAGCTTTGGTGTGAGTGGGGGGAGAGAAGAAGCTTCCAAGCACCAGGAAGGAGACGTGCCCCACTAGGAGGGAAGGGGGAAAGAGAAGATTCTGGAAGGCCAGGAAGATATGGGGAGCCCTCAGGTGGCTCTGCCTCCTCTGGGGAGTGGAGTCAGGGTCCTGGTTGAGCATGAGAGGAGCCATAGGGATCAGAGTCTAAGGGGGGAATGTGGGACAGTGTCTGTGAAGAGAACCCCTCTGGGCCTGGAGGCCATGAGCCTCAGGGGCCACATTGTGGAAGGAGTGGAAGTGTGGGTAGTTGGATTGGCTTGGTGGGGTTTTCAGAGTGAGATGCTCCAGAGGAAGCCCAGGAGCTGAAGCACTTGGCAGGAGGGTGACCAAAGCAAGGGACATGGGAGTCAGCTTGGGAGGGAGGGACGAGAGGGAAGATAGGAAGGGATGACATCTGCAGTCATATGAAAGGGTTTGATAGCATGAGGGAGCTGCCGAATCAGTTCTAAGCACTGGCAGTGTGGCTGGGATGCTGAGGAGGTGGAGCCATTGGAATTTGGGTGTCCCTTCTGCTCTAATTGAGGATGCTCATGAAAGCCCAGTCATCTGCAGTCATTTAGCTAAGCATGTAAATACCCATCAGCACTGGAGCGGTGGCTACTCAGAGGTGGCTTCTCTGGGGAAAATGCTCGACATCACCTGTTCGTTTTGTACAGTTTGGTTTAAGACTTGTGTGATCATACGTGTGAAACTATATCTCAGCACTCCTGCTGTGCAGCTTTAGAATTACTTAACTCCTCTAAGCCTCAGTGTCCTTGGGTATTAAGTGAATACATTTAATACCTATTTCATAGGCTTGTTTCAAGAAACAATTGAGCTGCCATGTATGAAATGCCTAGCACAGTGCTGGCATTAATGGGTGTTTAGTAATTGGCTGCTATTATAGTTGTTATTTCTATTCCTACCAACCCTAGGGTCTGATTTTTTTCAAATTGGTGGATATGAGATTGATAAAAGTAAGACTCAATACTAAAGATCTGGGAGTCTTTATCAGGGAAATGAATACTCAACCAGCATTATAAAACTTCCAGAGCATTTCAACCACTGATATCTATTGTAACCCACATTTGACTTTGTAAAGACTGAAACAAGCAGCCCCAAATACTACTCCCACCCCTGCAGAAGAAACCTTGAGCTCAACTTCACCCCAGAACTGCTTTCACTTGGATCCAGCATCCAACCAGAGGAGATCTTCACCTGGCAAAAAAGCCTTTCTTCATAATATGCATAATAGCCATGGGAGGCCTGCCCAGGAACACCGGCTAAAGCCAAAACGCCATTTGCAAAATCTGAAACTAGGAGAGTTTTTCTTCAGTGGCTAGGGAGCAATTTAAATGCAAGGATGAGTAGAAGGTGGGAAATGGACAAGAAGACACCCGGAGCCTGGGTGGCAGCGCCTCTCACTGACTTTGTACCAGAAAAGGAGAGAACCAGAGGAAATTCTGCAATTCACTTCACAAACTTGATTGCACATGGGTATGTCTAGGAAGGCTTAGGCTGTTACTCCATCTGAGCAACTTGGAAAACTTTCTGTACCATGTTTACAAGAAATGCTGCCAGAGGTATATATTTGCCCTGGATCAGAGAAGCAAGCAGAGCCTTTCTGAAGGTTCATCTTGCACTTCCCAACTGTATCTTGCAGTCTTCCAGAATTTGTTGCCAACACTTACTTCTTCTTCATGCTTTGGGACCACATCTAGAGGTGACTCAAGGAAATAATTTGAACATTTCTGGGACTATTTAAAAATTCTATAAGTCATTAGACATTTATAAAATTACATTCATATCCACAAGAGGACATTTGTTTCTAAAAGGTGTGAACTTTTCTCATCATGTTGGAGAAGAAAAGGACTCGTCTAACTAAGCAGAATCGAGTAACTACTATGGTTGTATGTGTTTTGGCCTGAACTGAACAGAGACTTTAGAAATTTCTCATCAATGAAGACAGCTTTCTCTTGAGATGCTCAAATCATCCATCCTAAGATTATATCAGGCATGAGCAAGTCAGGCCATCTCATAGACCTAAAACTCTGTAGCATAGGACTCTATTTTGTGACAGTTCTGATTTCATACCTAGCATTTGAGGGATGTTCCTTAGAAAATTCCAGAACCTGAGACTCCATGGGTGAAGATTACCAGGTGACACTCAGAATTCTTTGTGGGCCCAGGGAATCTGGGATTTGTATGAGACAATTCAGGGAAATTTCTTAATATTGGCCTGGGTTTGAGGAAAGATGCTGGGATGAAAGGACAGGCAGAGGTAAAACATATCCCATAGCTCTTTTTCTTTTCAAAAGGAAGCTATCTGAATAACTATCTGTTAGGAAACTGTAACTTTTACAATCAATGAAAGGACAGGCAGAGGTAAAACATATCCCATAGCTCTTTTTCTTTTCAAAAGGAAGCTATATGAATAACTATCTGTTAGGAAACTGTAACTTTTACAATCAAGTAACTTTCTGTGTCCCCAGAATCACCTCTGTGATTTATAGTATGGGTGAAAGTGCCAGGGCACAGGTTTAAACCCTGCCTAACACATCTCTTGGTCAGAGGGATGTCTCTTGAATTCAAAGATGGGGTCATGACTGATGCTCTTGTCTCTGCCAAATGGGTCACCAGTAAGTTGAGCAAGCAAGTCTCATGGGGTATAATTAGGAGACCAACTTTATTTTTGTCTCCATCTGTCCTTTTAAACTTGCTCAGTGGGTATAATTCTGTTTCTGCTCCTGGATAAAAACTTGGGCACCTCATGCCTTTACTGATCACTCTCAGGTAATAAAAAGTCCCATGGCCATTGCAAGTCATGAACAGTCTTAATTCCAATTTACAAGTGTCAGTCTAAAACAGGAATTGAGACGCTTCATTGAGACTTCCCCCTCCCCAGTGAGGGCTGACTGCAGGTTCAGCAGGAAGGGCATGGTCCTCCTTTCCTCTTTCCTCTCTGCTGTTTCTCCTTCCCCAGCTTACTAATGGAGGTCTCTGCCCTCTCCCAGCAGGTCTGAAGTGGGGAGGGAGAATAAGTAAGGGGGATACAAAAGTTGGGGGTTGGTTTGGGGCAAACATTTACAACTTGTCCTTTGTTTGATGGACGCTTTCCTGATTTTCCTCAATGTAGGTAGTGCCTTTCTTGGGTTCTCTGCTCCCTACTCTACTTCACCTTCTGTCTCTGGTGTATACTTTATTGTCTCCCCTGATTGGGGATTACAGGGGTGTGGGGTGGCTTTTGCCCTGGCAAACTGGCCTTGTGGATAAGATTCCTTTTAAGCTACCATTGCCACCACTTCCCCCTCAGACCAATGTTTCTTCTGCAGACTGCATATCCATTCCTCGGGATTAATTGTTTTTTTGAAAACACAGGCTTCTTCAACTTTCTCACTGGGTCTACAGCTACAGGGAACACATTCAGACTCTTTAACTGATCCCATTAGGATCTGAGTGAGCTTGGGTTTCAGGTTAGGGCTGGGAAAGAGGACCCTTCATTCCCACCCTTTTGATAGGCTACAAAACTCCTGTGTAGCTCTTTCCAAAGAAATCCTCTTCACAGGAATTGGTGAAGGGACATGAAAGTCAACTACATTGTATGTTGATAAATTTTTAAAAAATCCTCCTCACAAATAGTCTCTCTTTTTTTATTGTGGCAAAATTCATATAGCATAACATTAACCATTTTAAAATGAGCATTTAGCACAATACTCTCTTAGTGTCTACTTAGCCCTTTTATTACGTCCTTCTGGATGAGGGTTGCGAAGTTAACATATTGGTTTATTTAATACTTCCTGAGTAAATTCTGCACATGATCTAGACTCTCACATGAAGTTTTTTTTTTTTTTTTCTTTTTGTCTTTTTTTACTGACTGGTAACGGGATCCCAACCCTCAGTGTCGCGCCCGCACCGCGCTCAGCCAGCGAGCGGGAACCGGTCTCCACATGGGATCCGAACCCTCAGAGGGAGCGCTGCCACGCTCCCAAGCGGTGCACTCTCCAGTGTGCCACTGGGCTGGCCCTCACATGAAGTTTTGCAGCTACTGTATCTGCTGCCTCAGTGGAAACATCTAATTTAACATGTTTAGTACATAAATTATGTCCTTAGTCCTTATAGCAGCTCTATAAAGTGGATATTATTTCACAGGTAAAGAAACAGAGAGGAGAAGTGGCTTGCCAGTGTTACGCTGATAGTGAGTGGCAAGGCTAGGATTTGGCTCAATCTGTGAGATCTGTGCAGCGGCAACATCAGGGTTGTGTCTACCCTGATATGAAATGATGGCCAAGCTGGCCTCCCTCCCCAGGCTGCTGTGTCCTGGACCCCCACCTGCCTCTATCCTTTGAGTCATCCTAGGAGCCCTCAAGGGCCCTGAAGACCAGGCCTCATGAGCAGTAGTGAAAGGTCATGTCAAGACAAAGCAAGAGCATCCATGTCCCATCTCTGCTTATGAGTAGGCAGGAGGGGCTACCCCAGCCCTCTGGACCTCCAGCCTGGCCTGAGTCTGGGGCCTTTTCAGGTGCTGGATGCAGAAGGGAAGTCCTCTGCCAGCAGAGTTGGCTGCTGGACTCAGAAGACCAGCCCTGCTCAGGCCCAGAGAGGAGCACAGAGCATAGGGTTTATGTGAGGGGATTGGGGACTGGGAGTCTGTGCTCCCTGAGGGAAGCAGGAGAAGGTAAGGCACAGGCCACAGTAGTAGGCCCATCAGGCCTTGAGGCACCTCACCTGTACAGCTATGTCACCTGCCTTCTGGTCCCAAGCTGGTGGGAGCCTTGTGGTGGGCTTCGAGTGTCTACAGCATGGAGGTCACCAAAGTAGCATTCATCTGCCTAGAACTCTGATGGTGGCTAAGGATGAAGGCCAGAGGTTTGGGTGGACAGCCTGGGAATCTGGGACCGCTGGCCTGGGCACCGTTCTCAAGGAGCGGCACTTGAGCTTGCAACTAATTTGCGTTCTTGCTTTCTTTTTACAGGGAACCCCAAAGGTGCCATGCTCACCCATGGGAACGTGGTGGCTGATTTCTCAGGCTTTCTAAAAGTGACAGAGGTGAATAAAGTAGACTTACTAATGTAGGTGTCTCTTGAGGACAACCTCAAGCCTTAGAGGTTTTCCAAACACTGAAATAATCCATATCTGATAAATATTTAGTTGATTTCTAAGAGGGCTAAGATCCCAGAAAGAAAAACATGTAAACCTATTTTTCATTTTTAACTTCAAAAATTGAGATACTTGTAGTTTGTGCAAGACCATTTAGAGAGTAATCCTTAATAACTTGTTTTTCAATAGGTCAGGGTTTAATTCAGTCATTTTATATCGAAGGACTACTAGAGTCTGAGAAACAACAGCAACTGCTAATTTATAAGGCTCTATTTAAAGGTAAATCTAAAATCAAAAAAGTTTGATATCTTGGCCTGACAAAAGCATGTTAACATTTTATAACCGGCGAAGCAAGGAGGACCTTTCCCACAAGTGGTGAGTATGTCCTACTTTTCATCAGGAGAAAGGAGTGTACCTTTTCATACAAGTTAAGCTTTGCCTCCACTGTGGAGAAAACCACTCTCCACGTTCATGCTAGCTGACGTTATGGAGTATATGCCCCAAGCAGTTGTATATTTTGGTAGAAAATTGTGAGGGACTGTTGGTAGCTGAGCCCTGGTTAGGAGCCATGAGCCAGGTTCCCCAGGTTTGTCCAAACTGGCCCAAAAGCCAGCCCTGGAGAGTGAAGGCCTCTGCAAAAGGGCACACAGCAGGAAGTTCAGCAAAGGAGAGTTCCTGAAGGCATGTACCCACTCCTGAGTCCAGGCCTTGTGCAGGGTTCACCCACCTGGCTGGGGCAGCCCCTGTCCCTAGGGTCAGTCCCATCTGTGAGACCTGGGCTGGGGCCCTACCTGTGCTGGTGGGGTGAGCAGGGCTCCCTCTCAGCTTTCCCCTTTAAGGCCCTGACCCCAGGCCATGGCTTGTGAGACCACGTTCAGCGACCTTCAGGGCTCGTACCCCAGCCATAGTGGTGTAGTAGTTCTTTGGGAGAAGGACTAGAAAAGTGCTGACAATCCAGACCCTCTGAATCCCTGCCCAGATGGTCCAGGGAGACTGGGGAAATGGGACTGGGCAGATCCTGCAGTTGCGGGAGGAAGAGGGGAGAGCCAGGCTGGTGCCAACTGACTGCAAGTGAGCTGCAGGCCCTCCCGAGAGGAGACTTCCCTGCGGAGCCCGGCTCTGCTGGTTTATGTGTGCTTCATTTGGCTCTTTGCTTCTGCAGATAACCTAGGCCCACTGGCGCTGCGACCTAACACTCCGCTTCCTATGCTGCCCTGTCTCTCTGTCACTCTCTTTTTTCTTTCTGCATCTTTCCTCCCTCCCTCTCTCTCCCTTCCTCTCTCTCTCTGTCTCTCTCTCTCATTTTTTCTCTCTCATCTCACCTCTCTCTCTCTGTCCTCACCCCTCCGATCCCCTCCCCGCTCTTCCTGTTTGCCCCTCCAGGACCATTTTCTCTTTATTGTTTTATGACTCTCTTGTCGTCTTCCTGTCAGTGTTTCTTTCCTTTCTGTCTCCCATGCCCGTCGCCTGCAGAAAGTGATCTTTCCGAGACAGGACGATGTGCTCATCTCCTTCCTGCCTCTGGCTCACATGTTTGAGAGAGTGATCCAGGTAAGACGCCTACCTGACTGACCGGGCCTTGCCTGGGCTCCTTCTGTTTTCTTACAGAGTCAGTGGGCTCCCACTTGTGCGGATGTGCACATTTCCTATTTGCCTTTAGCACACATGTTTGAGCGAATGGTGCAGGTAAGGCCCTGGCATCAGGGAGGCACAATTTGTGCCTAGAACTCATAACCCTAGCAGAGTGTCACTTGTCACTGGTGGCATGAAGTAGGACCAAACTGCCCTGTCCTCAGAAGGTACCACAGGGGTCAGAGAGGGTCAGAGGACCTTGGCCACCTCACCTGTCCTTCCTGGGAGCATTGCTCCAGGGAAGACCCCAGGCCTGCCCTCTCTTACCCATGGACACACCTCAGCTGAGAGAGACCCCAGCTGATGGCATCGGCTCAGAGAGCATTGCAACTTTGCAGAAGTGATTTACCATTCAAGCTCTGTGCAGTACAGCTCGATTTGTGGCCCAAACTCTTATGTTCCATGACTTTCACAGCTCACAAACTCCTGAAAAAGAAAACCAAACAGTAAAACTGGGGAATCAAACTGTCATTGCTCCTCAGGTTGTAGATGGGGATAGGTGTTAAATTGGCCCTGAGACAGGCCTTATGGGGGTACAGAGGGAGTGAGGGGAGGAATCCATATGTGTTTTTGGGCACAAAGAATTCTCCGTGTGTGTGTCACCCAAGGAACCAGTCTGTGAATAAACTGTGTCTTCTAAGCTTTTGCCTTGGGGGTGATCTGGTATGATGGGGCATGCTTTTCACCTCTCTAGACCTGGATTAGAATGCCAGCAATTACTGTTGACTAGTTTTGTGACCCTGGGCAAGTCACTTTTCCTGTCACAGCTTTGCATTCCTCACCTGTAAAATGGGGATTAGGAATGATACCTCCCTTATAGAGTCACTCTGAGCATTAAAGGAAGGAGCACATATAAGACCCCTGGTGTACTCCTAGTCCCATTAGGAACCATACAGGCTCCCCCTTGGCCTCCCACTGAACAGCACCCATGGCCATCTTCAACAGCATCTCCAATAATCATGGGGACTGCATATCTGTCCAGAGTTGCCGAGATATACCTGGGGAAAGCCACAGACTCTCTAAGACCTGGAGCAGAGCCATTACTAGGGTGTAATACATCTCAGAGACATGGGAGGCCCACGTCCAGGGTTTGGGAGTGGGTGTAAGGGGCAGGCACCAGTGAGGATGGCTGCTTTGGCATCTCCCAAAGGCTCAGGGTTCCACCCCATCTCCCACTTCTCCCTGTGCCTGAGTGGGACTTAGTGAGAAAGGGGAGGGAGGACACCTCAGATAACATTCTTAGTGTCTCATGGCAGCAGCCAGAGCTGGGTCAGGGAGTCATGGGTGCCCTCCATGTAGGGCAGAACTTTGAGCAGCTCTGGATTGCAGCCAGGAGTGACCACCCTAAGGGACTCTTCCCTTCCTGTCCTTCCAGTCTGTCGTCTATTGCCATGGAGGGCGTGTTGGCTTCTTCCAGGGAGATATCCGCCTCCTCTCGGATGACATGAAGGCTCTATGCCCCACCATCTTCCCTGTGGTCCCACGACTGCTGAACCGAATGTACGACAAGGTGAGTCCGGCAGGGAGTCTCTGGCCAGGCTGAGGGGCAGCGTAGCTGCTTGTAAGGACAGGATCTGGAGTCTCCAAAACCTGGATAGGGAGATTTTTTTCAGGAACTTCAATCTCCACAATGTTCCTGGACCTTGGCAATGTTAATCTTCAGGTCACTGTCACACATTCAAAGACTTCCTGCAGGGGTGAAATGGAGCGTGGCTTCTCTGCTGGCCAGGCTGGGCCCTTCGCCTGAGGGGTAAGTCTAGAGGTGAGACATTCAGGCCCCACCAGCTGTTTCAACTTGTGTGCTGCAGATCTTCAGCCATGCAGATACACCATTAAAGCACTGGCTCCTGGAGTTTGCAGCAAAACGTAAGCAGGCTGAGGTCCGGAGTGGAATTATCAGGAATGATAGTATCTGGGATGAACTCTTCTTTAATAAAATTCAGGTAAGAAAATGAACAAGTGATTATAGAGTGACACCTAAGTATCCAGTGTGTGACCTTATAGGAGAATTACAGAGGTTCATCCCAGTGGCCTATAGTCTTGTGAAATAATAACTCATTTGCTTGTGTAATCAAAGCTTAAGCTACAATTGAAATTTTAAAATAGTCATTTTTATCTTTGGAGATATTTGCCAAAAGGCAACCAGTGAGAAGAACCTTTGGGAAGTGACCTCCAGAAGCTCCTGGCGCCTGAAGGTTCTCTTGCCCCTTCCTGTGATCCTGGCCATGATGGCTTTCTAGCAGCATGAGATTCTAACTGATGGCAAAGAATCTTCTTTTCCTTTTTTGTGTCTTGTCCCTGTAAACTCTCCCAAATCAGGCCAATCATGAATCACTCATTTCTGTATCTCCACTAAAGTTTTCAAGCTCTGTGTTACCCAAGGAATCTGTAGTTAGTTAATAGCACTAATATTTTTTTCTTGCTGCTCTATTTTTTTTTTTTTTGTCCTATTTTTCATGACTGGTAAGGGGATCGCAACCCTTGGCTTGGTGTCACCCGCACCGCGCTCAGCCAGAGAGCGCACCGGCCATCCTTATATAGGATCCGAACCCGCGGCGGGAGCGCCACTGCGCTCCCAAGCGCTGCACTCTCCCGAGTGCGCCACGGGGCCGGCCCCTCTATTTTTAACGATGACAATTAATGTTTAAACTCTTGGCCCAACTTACAGAAACAAAGTTTTTCAAGTGTTCTTTGTCCTCTGCAGTGCATAATAGATAAAGCATGGCATTGATTTATACAGGAAAAAAGGAAGTGCCATTAAAATGGAAGTTGAAAGAAATTGTCCTAAGTAATTGCTTTGGATCAGTGAGAATGATGAGAGAGTGAGGGAGCAGCTGTGTATTTTAAGGAAGGGAGAACTGATATTATAGAATGTCACACAGACTTAACGGCACTTATCTCAAAAGGCATGAAAGATGTCGTCATATTGTGGGTTGAGTTGCAGAGCTAATTAGGTTTATTATTTGGAACGGGAAGGGACTTCCTCAGCTCATGTGTTGTACAGCCTCAGGCCTTCTCTCTGACCCCAACCCTAGTGTCCAGGTAGGGTCCAATTGTTGAATGTTGACTTTGGATGAGACCCATATGGGCTGGACATCATCTCAGGCATTAGAAACATTGGCAGGCTCTTCTCTCTTCCTGCAGGCCAGTCTTGGAGGGTGTGTACGGATGATTGTTACTGGAGCTGCCCCTGCATCACCCACAGTCCTAGGATTCCTCCGGGCAGCTCTTGGGTGCCAGGTATTGTCATTGTGTGGCCTTCCCTGGGGCAGTGGGATGTGTGTTAGGACAGGAAAATTATATAACCTCTACTGTACTGAGAAATATCCAGGAACAAGATTTTTATGGGGTAAAAGCTCCCTCTTCCCAGGATGAAAAAAGCCCAGAACCAGTGGAAGCTGGGATGGCCTTGCCACATACTGGAAAGCCCAGGTATATTCACTCTGGGAAATCCCTTTACCTGGGCATTGGGGGGCAAAGGGCAAAGGGATCATATAAATTATATAAGGATCATCAATGTGCTGGAGAACCTGTACCACACTTGTACTCTGTCTCTGTATTCTCCAGCCTGCCAAATATCTCCCAACCCAGAAAAAAGAGCACAAAGGAGGAGATGAAAGCCCATTTGTATGTTATTTGATTCAATAGGTTTTGTCATCTCTAAAAAAATTCATCCCTTTATTTATTCAATTAATATTTATTAAGTTCTTCCATATGCAGGGTATTGTAACATGATTGTGGCCAATAGGTTTTAAGAAAAGTAGATACATATGTTTTATAATTGTGTGTGCTTAAATGTTTACACCTTAGAAGCCATGAGCTTCTTATGCTGTCCTCCTATTCCACACTAATGTGGCCTGACCACTTATAAAGGCAAACTCTCCCACATGGTGTATTCATGCAAACAAGTGAGGCTCAAGGGGAATATTTTACAGAGTCAAAATAAAACATATAGTGGATTTAAAAAAAATTTTTTTTAGTGGCTGGCCAGTATGGAAACCTGAACCCTTGACCTTGGTGTCACCAGCACCACACTCTCCCAAATGAGCCAACTGCCAGCTCCTGTAGTGGATTTAAAAATGTTTATCTTTGGTCAATAAAAAAAAGACAAAAAGAAAAAAAATGTTTATCTTTAATACATTTTATCCAAATGAAAATTAGATCCCATGGTTGCAAATAGGTCAGAAATCTTTACCCCAAACTACATAACCTTATCTACTAAGCGTCTGTGGTAAAAACAGCACTTCTAAGCAAATGTGGCCTGCTTGTTGTCTGTGCTCAGCTTCAGCTGGAGTTACCTACCTCCAGAGCATCACCCCTCCCACCATCCTCAGCCTGGAGCAGCCAGAAGCTCAATGAGAGGTTAGCTGGCTGAAAAGTCAACTCTGGGAGGGTGTGTGCTCACAGTGTGGTTTCCATGTTTTGTTTAAAGGTTTATGAAGGTTACGGCCAAACTGAGTGCACGGCTGGATGTACCTTCACCACGCCTGGGGACTGGACCTCAGGTAGGATGGGCTAGAGATGTGGGAATGGTTCGCAGGCCACTGTTGAGTAAAAGCAGAAGACTCTAAAACTCTCTCTTGGAAAGTAAATTTGCATGAGCACTTAGGAAAAAAGCAAAAGAAACAGAAGAAAAACATTACTGGTGGTTACGATTAGGTTGTATCACTATGGATCTGTTGTTTTCTCTGTTACATATTTTTCACTTTTCTATTTTTTTGTACTTTCCTATTTCTTTTATAGATAAATAGAAGTTTATGTTAAAAAGAAGTAATAGGTCACAAGATACAACTCCAGGTGAAAAAATACTTATAATAGTATATCGGATTTTATAGATTCTAGATACCACACAGCCTTGCTTACAGTTGTTTTACAAGGAAGGAAACAGGCTGTGAATTGGATATGACCTGTAAAGGAGAGGCAGGTTCATAGTGGCCACAGTACTGTTTCTTAAAGGGTCATCTCAGAGGCCTTTTGGGAACTATGGTCTCCTGTAATATTAATGTCCAGAAGGCAGCAACAACCTTAGAAAGGAGCAGCTGCCCTCCACACCCTCATTCTGAGGAGATTTATCTTTCATGGAGGAAGCAGGTCTGTAGTAGGTGGCCTGTGGATTGATTTACAGCAGATACTGGAAGAATCTGAAAACCACTCAGCGAAAGAATCCTTCAGGATACTGACTTCCTCTGTGAGCCTAGGGCTCCACTCTGTGTTTAAATTTGCTCAGCTAAAAACTGGAAAATTTGGGATGATATGTATGCAAAACAAATGTGCTCATTAACGTAATACTGTTTTTCAAATACCTTGAGATAGTTAGCAGAAACATGATAGGTGAATTTCAATTTGAAATCGTATTTAGCCAAGCTAACTATAGAAGCA